GGCGGGGCTCCCGAGCCCGGGGCTGGCGGGGGTGCCCGGGAAGGACTGGCTCCTTGGGACCCAGCTATCACTGAATTTGCGCTCGACCCCCGCCCCGCGGCTCCCCGTGTGGAGCCAGTGCGCTTCGGGCACCCGCTCTTGGGGGGGGGGATGGGCACCGTGGGGGGTCTGGACGGCCGGGAACTTTGCGAGGGGAGGCAGTCATTCATGGTGTCGGGTGAGCCGTGTGATTCTCGCCGCGGCATGGAGCGGAACCCGGCGGCTTACCCGCCTGACAATGCGCTTCCGGGGACGCTGTGCGCCGCGGAGAGGAGCTGCTTGCTAAGAGGATGTGCCCGCGGCGCCCAGGGCGTGTGTCGCGCGTACACAGGGGCTCCCTGCCGGCTGTGTCTGTGTGGATCTCTGACTGTGGGCCGTGTGTGCGGGAGAGTGTGTCTGAATGGAGGGTGTACCCAAGTCCTGTGACACCCACTGTATGTGTCTGGTCTCGCCGTGCCAGCCTCCCGCCCTCCGAGGAACCCCTACCATGCCGCCCTCCCTCTGGATCGAAGGTGCCCGAAGCCCCCGGGGTCTCCAGCATCGCCCCTTTCCTGCACTCCAGCAGGCCCCTCTCGGCGGCCAGGGCTGCTTGGTAGGGAGCAGACCTTGAGTCCGTTCACCCAGCTTACTCTTCCGCCCCCTGCTTCCGCAGGGCCGGTGAAGGAGTGCGAAGAGGACCAGTTCCGGTGCCGGAACGAGCGCTGCATCCCCTCCGTGTGGAGATGCGACGAGGACGACGACTGCTCGGACAACAGCGATGAGGACGACTGCCGTGAGTGGCCAGCCAGGGCGCCCGGACCGGGGGAGGGAGGGAACAGTGGGGGGCGCCAGGCTCTGCGCGCACGTGTCTGCAGCCACGGGGCCCCCTGCGCGGGCCTCACTGCCGGGAAACCACCCAGGCGCCGCCTCCTTCGGGGCCGGGTCGCTCTTAGGGACCGGGCGGCAGCTGGGTGGCCGAGGTGTTCTAGTGGGCCTGGGGGCGGAGCCCGGGGCGGTGTGCCCTGGGAGGAGGGCGCGCTACGCCCGGGCGGCCGGGCCAGAATTGTGGGCGGGGACGCGGCAGTCCCTTCACGGTTCTAGCTTCCAGCGATCCGGTCCTTTCGTACTCCCGCCTCGGCGCCTCCGGACGCGCGCGTGTTTCGAAGTTCCACGAAGCTCAGGCCCACACTGCGCTCCTTTTCCTGCTCGGTTTTTGTGAATGAATGGGTTCCCCGAGGCCCCTGATTGGCTGGACGAGGACCACCCCATAGGCCCCCGTGGCCGGAGAGTCCAATCGTGAAGCGGACGGGTGTGTAATATCCCGGCGCCCCGGGCGCAGGGGCCCTGCCCCGGCCCCGCCCAGGCCACACCCCCGCGCACATCCTCCGGATGGTAGGTGCCAGCGGGGCGGCGGCCCCGCCACCCTCTGCTTTTCTGCCAAGTCACTGTGAAGACGTTTTTGAGCTACCCGGGTTATCCGACCACGCTCTCCTGCTAGCCCGGCCCGGGTATGAGTCACGGGGCACACCAGGAAGGAGGGTACCAGGAGGAAGGGTTTGTTTCCTGGAACAGGCTCCAGAAGCCTGAGGCCATGCGTGAATCCCTGGAGTGTGCAGGTGGCCGGCTGCCTTTGCCGAGCGGTGGTGTTTGCACATCCCCAGCACTACTGATTTTGAAGTTTCTTTTCAGGGTGCGCGGGGCTTCGAGTGTCTGTGGGACCAAAAGCCAGTTAGCAGACACTCTAGAGAACATGCCAGCCCCACCAGCCAGGTTAGGGTCTTAGGTCTTAGGGAGGAAGGTGACATGGACAGACCCACACACACAGTGCGCAGGAAGGGTAGAAGGACACTTGGGCAGGCGCCCTCTCTGTTGGGTCCTTGAGTTTTTTGACTGTTATTTGCCAGTCAGCAAATACTGTTCACTCTCAGACCTAACCCAGAGTTGGCTCTGTCACTTGAGCACATCATTTTCTCCTTCCTCAGTTTCCTCACCTGACCACTTGGGCTAATCATTTCTGTCCTGGCAACCTCACAGGACTGTTCTGAGGACCAGTTCTAGAAATGATATTGAGAGTAATGACTAACATGTGCTGACTACGAACTGTGTGCTAAGCACTGCGGCAAGTGTTTATTTTTATAAACTCTTTTAATCTTCACAACAGTGCTATTTTACAGACCAAAAAACTGAGGCATTGGGAGGTTGTTATTTGCTTTACAGCTACTGAGTTGCTAAGTAGGAGCTTGAGCTTAAGCATCTGACTCCAGAGTTCTTAGCCTAATCATGACCCTGACTGTTTCCCAATGCTATTGAGGTTATGAAAATGGCTGTGCCTGGGTAAAATATCACAGTGAGTCTCAACACTGGGAGTTCTCCCGTGGTCCCCTTAGAGTGGGAGTGCTGAGGATGAGGCAAGGAAACAGAAACTTTCCATTTCTGAGTTGATTATACCTTTTCTCCCTGGATGTTTATAACAACAGTCTTGTGAGGGTGGTTGTGAGGAGCAGAAGCTTTTCTTGTCATCCTAGTTTATAGTTAAGGACTCTGGCTCAGAGAAGTTGGGCGATTTGCCCAAGGTCACACAGCTCAGTATGACAGAATTTGATCAGGATCTCTGCCTATCTCCTAGCTCAGGAGCACTGTTTGCTGCAGTGGCGTGTGGTATGGAAGGACCCAGAAGTGTGATCTAGGAGCAGGAAAGCTGTATTCTAAATATTGGGCCTGTCCTTTTTCATCTCCATGTGAGGCTTTGGGCAAGGTGAAGGAGTGAAGTAAGCTGATGGTTGGGTGACCCCAGCTGGTACCAGGAAAGCTCTGATGGCTGATCTGGGCTCCTGCTTCGGTTTTGAGATGGACGGGGTAGAGACATAGGCACAGGGTTACTGAACAGAAGCAAATGATGTCAAGGGCTTAGAGTGGGTGGTTGGTTGCTGATAGAACCAAGTATCAGTTGCACATGGCTTGACTTTTCTGAGCTTTTCTCATCCGCCAAGCAGGGGTAGCTGTCCCTCCATCGCTGGTTACATATGTAGAAAGTCTTCACACAGGGCGAGGAGGAGGGAGTGGATGAGTGTCCCACCTCTGTGGTCTTTAGAAATGGACTTCTAGTAGCCACAAAGGGAAACTGAAGAAACAGGGTGGAGCTTTAGGTAGCTGTGTTGGGGCCAGGTGCTCAAAAATTGGCTTACCCTACCCCTTCCTTCCGCATCTGAGGGGTTTCTGGTCTACCTGCCCGGGCTGAATTTCTTTTGACTATTCTCCCGTCAAGACTGTTGGCTTCTCCCTGAGCAGCCTCCCCATCTTACATCTGACCACCTCCTTTGGCACTCCCCCCGGCCAGAGGGCCTGAGCTGCCTGCCTCCGTACTTCTCTGGGCCTGCAAAAGGGGGACTGGAATTTGTAAATAAAGTCTATGTGAGGCAAAATGAGTTCAAGCTCCCAGAGGGGCCAGAATGCAGCCCCTGAATACCAAGAGTCTGATGGAGGCTGGAGAGAGGGAGCTTTTGTGTTGAGGAGGCCGAGGAAAGCTTCCTGGAGGAGACAGCTGAGCTGGGCCTTGAGTTATGGTAACTAATACCCTTCGTTCAGGGCTTTTAAAACAGGTGGCATGGTCCCTATATGATAGAGGACCCTGATACTCAGGTGAAGTGACTGCTCCTAAGTCACACAGCTCCTGACAGTTGGAGCTGGAATTCAAGCTAAGGTCTTCTAAGTCTTGATCCTCACCCAGCTGGGTGGAGGTTGGCCCTTTGGAGACACAGAGCTGGCAGGATGGGGATGGGAAAAGCTCATAGGGCTTCAGTTCCCAGCTCAAAGAACCTTCAAAGTGGAGGAAGGGGCTGGAAGCCAGAGAGCCAGGCCCAAGGAAGCCCAGGGGCAGCCCAGTGGGGGGACGTAGGGTGGGATTCCTGGCTGTGGACCTGTGTCACGTAGGCCGTTTGGCTTCTTGGCCCAGTTTCCTGTTGCTCTCTAGTATCTAGGGGCAGAGGCGTGGATTCTGGTCTCTGGCTGGGCCTTTACTCCCCAGAGTAACACCACCACCACCAGCAAATTTACTGAGCACATGCTTGGACCAGGCATTGTGCTAGGATTTTACATGCATCACCTCGTGTTCCTCTGTTTCATAAAATGAGGCAACCCTGTGAAGTACCTGAATTATTCCCATTTTATAAGGGCACAGAGGGGTTAAGTTACCAGCCAAAGGGTATATGATTTTTAAGTGAAATTGCTGGGCTGTGAATGCAAGTGCTCGACTGTAAAACTTGTACCGTCTTAAGTACTGGCTGGTGGCCTCAGGCAAGTCCTCACCAGGCCTTCAAAGGTGCTCTGCCCCTCACTTTCCCCCAGCTCTGGGAAGAATTCTGTGCTTCTCTTTGTGGCAAGACTGGGTAGACAGGTAACCAGTTTGTGCTCTTATACCTCTACCTTGTTCAGTCTTCATTTGGCTCCCTTACCCTCCCAGCCCCCGTCACCCCTCCATCCTGGATTTGGTGAAGAGGGGCTGCAGCAGCGAGGTCTCCCACGGCTGAGAGTTCATTAGCGGGCAAGGCCAGGCAGCAGGAGTGCCAAGGCCTGCTGGGATGCAGCCTTGTGAATAATTAAAGCTCAGCCACAGCTCCTGGCTGGTGCTGTCACCTGCATCTGGCCTTCAGTGTGTGGTCTGGACTCACACCCCTGACACCAGGCCCTACTTTATGTCCTTTTTTGGATGAAGTCATTGGACAGACAGCGTTGCTCTTCTCTGAACCTTAGTTTCCTCATCTGACCAGGCAGCTCCACCGTTCAGAGTCCTCTTGGGGCTCCTGAGTACCCAGAGGATAAAGTTGGCTTATTAGACTCCTGCATTTGGCCCTCTGTGACCAGCTCCTGTTGCCGACTCCCCTTCAGTCTCTTCCTTCCTCTTCCTGTGAGCCTGTGACACCTTCCTACAGCCTCACCTTCCTACTGCTTGAGGATCAAATGAGATGGCATGACTGGTAAGCAGTCATGCTCAATGATTGGCAATGGGTATATGACTGTACTTGGCAGGAGGAGTTTCAGTGAGGTCTGTAGGTACCTGATTACAGAGGGCCTCTGCAGGCCAGTCTGAATGCTCCTGCTTCCCTTGTCCCCATCTGCTTAGCCTTGTGGGAATCCTGTCGCTGGTGTTTGCTCAGCCGGTGGGTTGTCCAACCATGGTGGATGTGGCCCCAAGGCCACCCAGCTACAAGATGAACCTGGAAGTGGCAGAAAGCTGCCCAGGAAAGGTCTAACAGAAGAAATGAATCAAACAAGCCTGGTTTGTCTCACTGGTTGGTCTCAGTGAATGAGTAACTAGCCCGGGGCCCTAGGAGGGGCAGGGGATGGCTTCCCTTGGGCTGTGTGCTTGTCCTAAAGGCCTGTTTCTGTCCTGTCTGGCCTATATCCCCCATGGCTCTGCTCAGCAGGCCCCAAGCTTCCCTTTCTTCTAGGCCCCGGTCTATGCCTAACTAGCCCGGGGCCCTAGGAGGGGCAGGGGATGGCTTCCCTTGGGCTGTGTGCTTGTCCTGAAGGCCTGTTTCTGTCCTGTCTGGCCTATATCCCCCATGGCTCTGCTCAGCAGGCCCCAAGCTTCCCTTTCTTCTAGGCCCCGGTCTATGCCTTTTGAGATTGGTCCCAACAGGCCTTGGGAGTGTTTGCCGAAGTCTCTACCTTGGGCCTTCCTGGGTCCCCTTCTTTGAGCTTCTTGGGTTTCTTAGGCCTACTAGGGGTTTGGAATGCAGCTGGCCTCAGGATGGGTTGGCTTCCTCCTCCCTAATTGTTTGCAGGCAGCTGACT